CAAACCGCTTCAGATGCCAGGCTGCTGTTTGCTAATTGAGTCGCGCGTGCTCGCCCTGGGTAGGTCAGAGGAGGCTTCGCTCTCTGCCGCTTGTCCCCAGCGCCCCCGACGCTGGATGCGGGGTGTGCTTTGGGGTTCAGAGCTGTGCTGTGGCTCGGACCTGCCCACGGGACCCGTCTCTCTGTGTGTCCTCAGAGTCCTTCAGCAGCATGTCCAGATGAAGCCTTCCCCCGTGCCACGCTGCCTGCTCCAAGGGGACCTTCCACCCGTTGCCCATCCCTGGGTGTACGGCATCTCCTTTCCTCCACCCTCTGCATTCAGGGGCAGAAAGCTTCTTGCCCTGTCCTCAAGGGTAGCAAAATCACGGAGCAGAGCCTGCCGGACGTAGTGCCTGCTGCTCCCCATGAGCTCCAGCTGCTCCAGCGGCGGTTCACACCAGGCTTCACTGTGCTTTGAGCGATGTGGGGCCGTTCATGGGCTCCGGGGAGCGGGAGGGGAAGGGCTTGTCTCCGCTTGTTTATGCTTCCAGCAGCCCCTAATCCCCATCACAGGGTTTCCGTGTGGGAGAACATGCTCTGGGACCGTGCCATCTCCTCTCTCTTGTGCAAGTCCTCTGGCTCTGAACGGATGGCTTTGCCGCTTGGCTGGCAGCATGCTTTCCCCACTGTTGGGCACGGCCAGTTTTGGGACAGTGACTCCAAGGCAGAGGTCTCCTGGAGGAGGTGGCTCTGCTGTCACTCAGGGCTGCTCTCCAGGGGCTGGCTGTGTTCCTGGATGAGACCTCCAGTCTGCGGGCTGGATTTAGGGTGTCAGGGAGAAGGCTTAGCTGCTTGAGCTCGAGGAGGATCTCATGACTTGGCCCGTGTCCTCCTGGGCTGTCAGAGGCCTGTTATCTCTGTGGCAAAGAGCTTGGGCTTGAAATTACATCCGAGGTCAACGGGAGTTGAAGCTGAGACCTTGTTTGTAAGGTGTTACCCAATGCCAAGGCGCAGAGGAGCACGGGGCAGCTGGGCTGCGGCAGGGCATCCTATGGCTTGATGCGCCCTGGGTCTGGAGGAGCTCCTCGCTTCATGGTCTGGCTGCTGGTGCCTGCAAGGTGGGGAGGCATTGGGTTGAGGTTTGGTGCCACTACAGTGAGGACCATGGGCTGGCATGGTTGGAGACAGAGCACCCAGCCCCACCAGGGTTGACTTTGTCCTTGCCATGGGATGGGCTGGTTGAGAGCAGCTCTGGACCCTGGGACAGAGCGTCCTCCCTGTGCTGCCTCCAGGTTGCACTTGCCTGGCCGTTGGAACCCCGTTGTCTTCCACAAGTGGGTTTGGGGCATCTGACCTGCCAACAGAGCTCATGCTGAGCAGCGTTTGATCCATTGGCCATGGGTTGGTGAGGGAAGAGCAGGGTCCAGAGCCCGGCTGGCAGCAGGGGAGCCTCAGAGCTGCCCTGACCACCAGTGTGGGGTTGTGGGGGGTTGCTGACCTGGCCCTTATCTTCCCTGTTTCTCTTCTTAGCTCCTGCACCTCTGCAGCCGAGAAGGAGATGGGAGGTGAGTGACCCAGCCTCTCTTGCTGACAGGAGATAGCCTGAAGGTCCAGCTGATCCGGGCACTGCAGGCCCGGCATGGGGGAAGGACCCAGCTCCCGCAGCCTCAAAACATGAGCTGGATGATGATCATCTTGGTTCTTGGCCAACCCTGCTCCTCTGCAAAGGCTCAGCCCCTGCTCGGGCGACAGCAGGCAGGGCACGTTGCAGCCCTCGGGGGCTCTTTTGAGGTCCAAGCTGGAGCCCCTCTCCCCTGCCCCCATGGCAGGAGCTCCTGGGGAGGCTCGTAGGAGCTCAGCAGGGTGGCGTGGCCCATCTCCATGCTCTTCCACCCCAGGAGCGGAGCAAAGGGAGAAGCAATACCGAGCCCATCGGGGATTTGGGGATCGCCGCGGTGGGGTCATCAGCGCCCGCACGTATTTCTACGCCGATGAGGCCAAGTGTGACCAGCACATGGAGACTTTCCTCCACTGCATCGACGCCTCCAGTAAGTGCTCCACATGTCCTGAGCAGCCCCACTGTGCCTGGGGAGTGCGGGGACCCTGCAGCCCACCACCGTACCTCGGGTACCTCCCTTCTACGCGAGCACCCTGTCGGGCTAGCTCTGTCTTTGTGGCTCCATCCAGGTGGCAGCTCGGAGGACGGCTTCTCGGCCGTCAAGCTGACGGCGCTGGGCAGACCTCAGTTCCTGGTGAGTGCCAGGGCTGTGACCAGGGCAAGGTGGGTCAGAGCCAGGGCCACGGATGATGCATCTAAGGGGTGGCAGGTGCTATGGGGTGCCAGGCTTGCTGCAGTGGCATCTCCACTGATGGCAGAGAGAAGCGGGCATCAACAGACTGTCCTCTATGTGCTTGACACCACCCTGGAGACCCAGCCTCAACTTTTGGGGACACAGGAAGAGCTCAGAAGTTTAGAGGTCCCAACATGAGGGTGTTGGGGTGTGTACTGCTAGGTTTGGCCCCTGCTTGGCCAAGGTCCCCTGCTATAGGTCAGAGTCTGCCTCAGGCTGGGTATGATCTTGCAAAGCCCCAACGTGGCAGGAGGCTCCAAGCCAGTTGGGCTCCAGCCTGGGTGTCTCGCCTCCAATCTGTCCCCACAGCTGCAGTTCTCGGAGGTGCTGGTAAAGTGGCGGAGGTTCTTCCACCAAATGGCCGCGGAGCAGGGCCAGGCTGGGCGGGCAGCACTGGAGATGAAGCTGGAGGCAGAGAAGCTCCAGGTGAGGCGGTTGATGTCTGAGGGAGGGGGCTGTGCTGCCGGGGATGCGCTGCTGGAGGTGGCAGCGGAGGTGCTGGAGCAGCCTTGACACCTGTGGCACCTCTGAGCCTGGAGCAGTAGGACCCCTGTAGCCCCTTGGCACTGATGTTCTTTTTGGTGGCAGGAGGCCCTGGCCAAACTTGGCATCGCAACCAAGGCGGAGAGCCAGCACTGGTTCACGGGCGAGAACCTGGGTGTGAGCGGGTAAGCTGCCTGTGACCTGGGGGGTGCTGCAGGATGGGGACGCTGGGGGACCTTGTGCCTGTTCTCGGGGTTGTCCCTGTTCCTGGGAAGTGGGGCAGCAGCGAGGGGAGGTCTCCAAAGGCCGGCACTGGCTCACCACAGTGACCAGGCACAGAGGAGCTTTGGGTGGAGGTGACAAGCCAGGTCAGGGTGGTACACGCCGTGCACCCTGCTTGCTGGTGGGGGTCAGGAGCAGGTAGGAACCTTCCTGCCCCTGCAAGACACCAGTACAAACCTGGGTCTCTGCTCACAGCACTGTGGACCTGCTGGACTGGAACAGCCTGATTGACAGCCGCACCAAGATCTCCAAGCTGCTGCTTGTCCCCAACATGCAGGTGGGTACCCATCTGTGCTACCCCTGGAGCTGCCCCACAGGAAAGAGCACTTGGATTTTGGGGGAGCAGGGTGTGGGTCTGCTGTCCCCAGGCCCTGCCCGGTAGCTCGCTGGTGGCTGCGGAGCTGGCTGGCATCTGTGCTGCCAGAGCCTGGCCATGCCGTGATCCACCATGTGTAGCCACCAAGCTGGCAGGGTGGTTGCCCTGTGCAGGCTGTGCTGGCCAGTGGGTGCTGGGGAGCTGGGGTGGGCAGCAGCCCTGGGGATGGGCTTCCCCCGCCCTCCAAGAGTGTTTCTGTCTCCTGTGGGCACGGCTGGCCGCAGGCAGGGCACCACAAGCTGCTCTCGTTTCAGACTGGGCAGCTGGAGCCTCTGCTCTCACGCTTCACTGAGGAGGAGGATCTGCAGATGAAGCGGATGCTGCAGCGGATGGATGTCCTTGCCAAGGTGGAGGGCTGCTGGGGCGGTGGGAGCTGGGCACAGGCACTGCCGCAGAGGGGTAGCCATGTAGGAGGTGTCTCCATGAATCCAACCTGCATGCCGTTCACCTCCCCAGAGAGCCGCGGAGAAGGGTGTGAGGCTGATGGTGGACGCAGAGCAGAGCTACTTCCAGCCAGCCATCAGCCGCCTCACCCTGGAGATGCAGCGCCGCTTCAACAGGGATCGGGCAATCATCTTCAACACCTACCAGTGCTACCTGAAGGTGAGGTCCGGCAGGAGGTTGGGCAGGAAGGACCTGCTGGAGCAGGTGGATGGGGACCTTGGCTCCTGAAGCCATGGTGATGCGATGGCACGACTCTGGGGTTGGCTGCCTGAAGACGAAGGGCAGACGGGGCACTGGTGGAATGACCTTGTACCTTCTCTTCCATCTGGTCCCAGGAGGCTTATGACAACGTGACAGTGGACGTGGAGCTGTCGCGCCGGGAGGGCTGGCACTTTGGTACCAAGCTGGTCCGTGGTGCCTACATGGAGCAGGAGCGGGCGAGGGCGGCCCAGATTGGCTATGAGGATCCCATCAACCCCACCTATGAGAAGACCAATGAGATGTACCACAGGTAGAGGACAGCCCCAGCCACACTCCTCCTCCCACCCCACTGGGCACGGGCTTGAGCAGCCTCACCACACAGCCCCGTACTATCCTGCAGGTGCCTGGACTATATCCTGGAGGAGATCAAGCACAGCTGGAAAGCCAACGTGATGGTGGCATCTCACAATGAGGACACGGTGAAGTTCACCCTGCGCAGGTGGGTGCTGGGGAGGAAGCGTGGCATGGCAGGGACCAGGGGGCTCGAGGGATGGGTGGGCCCAGCAGAGCTACAACGAGATGTGCTGTGGCTTGTCAGGTCTCCTCTGCGCTCAGCCGGGGGGAACCTAGCTCCCACCTGGTGCTCAGGGCTTTGGTCGGGGCTTGGAGCTGGGGCACAGCATGGTGGGTCACAGCAGCTGCAGAGCTGGCCCCATGGCCCAGCCCAGAAGCTGTTTTAAAAAGAAATCCCTCAAGTCTTTGCATCCCAGCATCCACATGGGACATGGTCAGTGCTGTGCTGTCATAATTGGAAATGATCCCCGCTCCTCTGGTGGGACATGCTGTCTTTGCTCTTCCCTAATGTGAAGCTTGGCTTGCAGGATGATGGAGCTTGGGATCCATCCCTCAGAGAAGAAGGTGTGCTTCGGGCAGCTCCTGGGCATGTGTGACCAGATCACCTTCCCCCTGGGTGAGTGCTGGCAGCAGGGAGGATTGGCAGATGTGCTCCTGCCCCACCTTGATCCCTGAGGTCTCCCTGAGGAGCTATTGTGGGGTCTGAAGGACGGATGGAGCTGGGCTATGGGTCCGCCCTGGTGAAGGCAGGGCTGGCAGCAGGACTGGCTGAGGACGGTGCCTTGTTGCCTCTTTCCCAGCTGTGCAGAGCGCTGTGTCCCCTGCATAGCGTTTGGGAAGGATGTAGATGGAGAATCGCATCTGTCTTCTGGAAGCCCCATGAGACCGTGATGGCTGGGCAGGGAGATTCCTGCTTTGGCCTCTGAGCTGGGATCAGGGTACTCCTAGAGAAGGGCAGAGAGAGGTCATGGCCGCAGCAAACCCCTCTTGTACCTCCTTGGTCTGGGAGTGCTGCTTTGCTCTGCTGGAGGTGAACCCCAACTCCCGGGCTCTCCACTAGTGGGGTGGCAACGGGCTCTTGCATGACTTTGTCCTCTCCTCTGCTGCTGGCCCAAGCAGCCAAGCAGAGCTCCCAGGGGTCCGGACAGAGGGATATGCAAGGGTCCAGGTAGCCCAACGCAGGTCAGGGTCTGAGCCCCCTGCCCACGCCGGTGGTCAGAGCGGAGACCCGAGGCCAGGAGAGCAGCAGGAGGCAGACCGGGCAGTTGTCCAGCCTGGATGCTGCTCTGTCCTGGAGTTCCCCTCGCAAGAGGGGTTTGGCTGCCTGTCTGCAACCTCCTCTGGTCATGCTGGAAAAATGTGTTAACTTGATGTTTCTGGTTGAATGCTTCTCGAATTGGCCGGGCCCTGGCTGCCGACATTCCCAGGGCTCCCGGTGACCTCGGCCCGCTCCCCCCGGCGTGTTCCCAAGCTCCCCGTGCTGAGCCGGGGGAGGGATGTACCGCTGCTCCCCCTCCCCGGTGCTCAACCGCAGCCTCCGGCCGCTGCAGCCCTCCCGCCCGCCGTCCCTCTTCCCATCGCACAGCCCGGGGGGG